ATGGCCTTTATGATTGTTGTAGTATGTTCCTTGTATCCCAAGAATTTCAAGGGCTTTTATCATGAATGGGTGTTGCACTTTGTCGAAAGCTTTCTCAGCATCTATTGATATTATCATATGGCTTTTATATTTCTTTTTGTTGATTGTGTTGGATAACGTTGATTGATTTTCGGATGTTGAACCATCCTGTGTCCCTGGCATGCATCCTACTGGTCGTGGTGAATTATCTTATGGATACATTGTTGGATTCTAATAGCTAAAATTTTATTGAGGATTTTTGCATCAGTGTTCATTAGGAAGATTGGCCTATAGTTTTCCTTTTTTGCGTTGTCCTTGTTCGGTTTTGGTATTAGTGTATTGTTGGCTTCATAGAACGTGTTTGGTATTGTCCCTTCCTTCTCAATTTTTTGGAAGAGTTTGTGAAGGATAGGCACTAATTCGTCTCTGAATGTTTGATAGATTTCATTTGTAAATCCATCAGGTCCTGGGCTTTTGTTTCTGGGGAGGTTTTTGATTACCATTTCAATATCGCTGCTTGTAATTGGTCTGTTTAGGTGTTCTATTTCTTCTTTATCTAGCTTTGGGTGATTGTAGAGTTGTAGGATTTGTCCATCTCCTCTAGATTTGCTGAACTTGTTTCCATATAACTGTTCATAGTAGTTACTGATTATTCTTTTGATTTCTTGCTGTGTCCGTTTGTGATTTCTCCTCTTCATTTATGATCCGATTTATTTGTGCTTCTCCCTTTTTTCCTTTGTGAGCCTGGCTAGGGTTTGTCTATTTTATTGATTTTTTTCGAAGAAGACCAGCTCTTGTTTCATTGATCTTTGGATTGTTTTTTTAGTTTCAATTTCATTATTTCTTCTTTGGTTTTTATTTCTTTTCTTCTACTGGTTTTGGGGCTTTTTTGTTGTTCTTTTTATAGCTCTTTGAGCTTCGCAATTAGGTTGTTTCTTTGAGTTCTTTCTTGTTTCTTGATGTGAGCCTCTATTGCTATATATTTTCCTCTTTTATTCGCTTTTGCTGCATCCCATACATTTAGGAAATTGGTGTCCTCCTTGTCATTCAATTCAAAGAATTTTTTAATTTCTTCTTTGATCTCCTCATTAGTCCAGTGGTCTTCCAGTAGTGTGGTTTTCAATCTCCCTGAGGTAGGGGAGTTCCTTGTCTTCTTTTTATGGTTTATTTCTAGTTTGATGCCTTCGTGGTCAGAAAAGATGGTTGGTATGGTTTCAATCTTGATGTATCTGTTGATGTTTGTCTTGTGTCCCAGTATGTGATCGATCCTGGTGAATGATCCATGTGCACTTGAGAAAAATGTGTACTCCTTTTTTTTGGGTTTAGTGTTCTATAGATGTCTGTTAAGCCCAAGCACTCTAGGTCCTTATTTAGAGCTTTAGTGTCTTTACTTATTTTTTGTCTCGTTGATCTATCCTTTGTTGATAGTGGTGTGTTGAAGCCTCCCACTACGTGTGTGTTTTCTCTGATGTCTGTTTTCAGAGATGATAATAGTTGTCTGATATATTTTGGTGCTCCTTCGTTTGGTGAATATATGTTAATGAGTGTTATTTCTTCCTGAAGTATTGTCCCCTTGATCATAATGTAGTGACCGTTGGGGTTGCTTTTTATCTTTTTGAGTTTGAAATCTGTTTTATCTGATAAAAGTATAGCTGTTCCTGCTTTCTTTTTTGGTCCATTTGCTTGTAGGATTGTTTTCCATCCTTTAACTTTGAGTCTATTTTTATCTTTTGTAGTTAAATGTGTTTCCTGGAGACAGCAAAAGATTGGGGTTTGTTTCTTAATCCAGCCTGCAACTCTGTGTCTTTTTATTGAAGAGTTTCTTCCATTTACATTTATAATTAATATTGATATGTTAGCATCTGTATTTGCCATTGTGTTAGTCCTTCCTTTGATTTTATTTATTTATTCTTTTAATAACTTTTTTTTTGATCTTCTTTCGTTGTTATTCGTCCCTCTGAAGTTCTGGCTTTAGGACTCCTTGTAGTATTTTTTGGAGTGGGGGTTTAGTCGTAATGAAATTCCATAGTTTCTGTTTGTCTGGGACAGTCCTTATTCTTTCTTCATAGAGGAAGGAGAGCTTTGCGGGATAGAGTATTCTTGGTTGACATCTGTATTCTTGGAGTCTGTTGACTATGTCCCTCCACTCTCTCCTTGCCTGTGTGTTTCTTCGGAGAAGTCTGATGTCAGCCTGATTGGTTTTCCTTTGAATGTTGTCTGTTTCTTCCCTCTTGTCAGCTTCATTATTTTTTCCTTGTCCTGGATTCTTGGGAGCTTTACTATTATGTGTCTGTCTGTATTTTTCGTTTCGTCGTGGAAGTTTGGTGTTCCTCTTGCTTCTTGTATATCAATTTTCAGCTTCTTCTTCACGTTTGGGAAGTTCTCTTCAATTATCTCCTGGAATATTTTCTCTGTTCCTACATCTCTCTCCTCTCCTTCTGGTATTCCTATAACTCTTATATTTCCTTTCCTCATGGAGTCCGATAGTTCCCAAAGTCTTTCTTTAGTCTTTTTTCTTCTTACTTCTCTTTCCTTTTCTGTTTTGGTTCTTTTTATTTCTGTGTCTTCAAGAGTACTTATTCGTTCTTCCATTTCATCTGTTCTGCTTTCATTGCTTTTCCCAGAGGTCTTTAGTGCCTCCATTAATTCTTTGATCGCCTGTATTTCCTTCACTTCCCTCTTTAGGGACTCAATTTCATTCTTCTGATTGTTGATTATTTTTCCCTTATCATTGTTTTTCTTTATGACTTCTGTCAAGTTTTTTAATCATGGCAATTTTAAATTCTCTTTCTGGAAGGCTCATTAGTTCTTCCAAGTTACTGTCGTTGCAATCTGGGGGGTGGTTTTCTTTTTTGTGGTGTGCTTTTTTCCTGAGGAGTTGCTAGGTTGCGTGTCGTTCTTCTACTCCCTACTGTCTGTTTTCTAATTTGCCGTATGCATTGGGACACTGTGTTGCTGGGACTGGCCGGCATCTTGGGTGAACTTCTCCGCTCCCCTCTGGCTCCTCCAGGAGCCACCTCTTGGTTTCAAGCAGTCTTTACTGAAGAAAGTTCCCTGTTCTATGGGGTGTTGGTGATTGTTTTTCTGGTCGCTAGGTGGCACCAGAGATCTCTCCTAGTGTTCTTGGGGAGCTGTTTTTTTCACCCCGTGGGACGGGAACAGAGTGGGAGTGGTGGGGAAAGCCTCAATGGCTTTGGGGTGCTGTGTCTGCCTTGTGCCCCACTGTCATGGGAAACCCACGCCCCAAATTTCGTGTCCCGGGTCTCAGTTCCAAAGCTCTCAGGTCCAGGATGCGGGCTGTAGCCCAGTTCAGTGTCCGCAGAAATGGCGCCTTTTGCACCCCGCTCCCGTGTCCGCGCCTGGTTTCTGATTACTCAGTGAGGGATATTTACCTCAGTGAGGGCCCCTGCGCGTCTCCCCGCAAGACTAGGTTGCAGGCATGGGGACCTGGGCAGCCACGATCCGCGTTTGCTTTTCTAGCGTGCCGCTTCTCTGCACAAGCTTACTGGCTGTCCTGGGGCTGTTTGTGTTATAGAGCAGCCCTGATATTGAATGGTTGCTTGTCTGTGGGTTTATGGTGACCAACGCAAGAAAAATTACTTTGGGCTGGTCAACCACGGGTGAAGCTTGGAAACCTCATTGGGCGCCAAGCTGTTATAGAGCAGCCCCGATATTGAACGGGTTGCCTGTCTGTGGTCCTTACCCACATGCTTAAAAGGGACTTAATACTCCACTACAGGCATACACAAAAGGTTAATAAAAGGTTTATTTACAAGGGAAAAGGAAATAAGGAACATGCACAACTCAGGGAGAAAATAGGGAAATAAAGTCTTTAATGCGTCCTACCCAATCCGACGACCTGGAAACCCAAAAAGCACTCTCAGAGCTGGCCAGATGCTGCGAGCTGGCGGAGAGCCAAAATGGGGGAACCCCTCCAAAGCCCATGTATCTGGCTTTATACCAACCTGGCTGCTTAACCCCACCCTCAGGTCCCAGCCACCTTCCCTTTGGTGGTGATGGGATTTGGAGTTCCCAGTGTCTTTGGCTTTGGCCTAGGGTGGGGGTGGAGTCCACAAAGCCTGTATGGAATTAGCTTTAGGAATCCTTTTCCCCCTAACATTTGTAGGTCTCCGGGAGTCTTTGTTTTTCTCTAATGGCGCCTGGAGCAGTTAGCTCACCTCCGAGGCGAATCCTGCAGGGTTCTCCACAGTTCCAGTTCATGGGGTATGGTGGCTGAAATAGTTCCTTTCCACTCACAGTCCTGCTTGATGCGTAGTTTGTTTTTGTTGGTTGTTTTAATTTTTTTGTTTGTTTGTTTTTTTCCTCCTTTCTGTTGGTTGGAGAGTGCCAACTTTGTTGGTGGGGGAGGGTAGCAGGGTTCTGAGCTTTCCTCCCTTCTAGTCCTCTTTTATGGCAACTTTCTTCTTCGGGTAGTTTGCTGGAGTCGTCCGTTTATCTTCCGTGTCCCAGTTCTCACTGGGACCTGCCGCTTTTCCTCCCTATTAACTTTTTTTTAATGGGAGACCTTACTCGCAGCATTTCCTCACCACCATGTTGATCCGCCCCCTCCATTAGAGTATTCTTTTACCTTCACATTATTGGTCCTGATCTTAAGTCTATGTGTATGAAAGAGTCTGGGGATTCAGCTCTTACTAAAGCTATAACATGCCTCATAAATGATTTTTTCCTACTTAAACATTGAATCCCAAGTATAAAAGAAGGTGATATTCTCTAGGAGTACATAGGTATATAGCCAAAAAGCAAAATCTAATACTCAAGTCATAAGACCTCTACCCCTTTTTCACTTAGAAATTGTTATTGGTAAGTATCTGGGATGATATTTGTTTCATCAAAGTTCCTGAATAACTGATAATTTCCTCCCATTTCCCTTTTTCCCCCTTCAAAAAAATTATGTAATGAGAGATTTTTAGGTATCTGTTGAAATAAAATTTTCTCTTCATTTCATCTTCTTTCTTCCCTAGTCTCCATTTTGGCAGAGACAGAAGAGATCAAGTCAATTTTGAAAGACAATGGGATTGATGTGGAGACCATTGCTGAGGTGTACCCTATCAGAGTACAACCTGCTCGTATTCTCAGTCACATTTATTCCAGCTTAGGTAAGGAGATTGGCCGGCCTATTAGATTCAAAGCATTATTCAGTACAGGCTGGTTTCTTTGCTTTTAATTTTTCCTGATCTTGTATTGCTTTATTAAACTGAATCTGAAAAGGAATTTAGAGTTTCTGGAATCTAAGTTTCTAACACTGTATATCCTAAACAGGCTTGATAATTTTAGATATGTTTTAGGAACTCTTTGCAACATAGGGCATGACTATTACCAGGAAATATTCTGTCTTCATTCCAAGTATATGCTTAATTAACATGTATCTCCCTTTTCTTAGAACCTGTATTTCCATTTTGAATATGTGCTAAATTTATATAGAGTACAGACAAGGAACTTGTTTTTAAGTCTTTAATACTTTGTCATATAATGAACTAGTTGATAATATTGAAAAATCTATTTAATCTAATACTTATAGTGATGAACTTTTCACATTAAACAAGTTACTACACCGTTAACTTTTAAAAATTAGGGCATGTAAATTTCTTTTTTAGTTTTTATTTCTTTTTTTAAAATTTATATATATATTTTACATCATTGTTCATTTCTAAACAATGTTTGCTTCCCCCCCCACCCCCGCCAACCTCAGGTATGTCCCCATAGCATTTCCTTCACCCATGTACCCGTGCACCATCACCACAGTTCCACCAGTGCTCCTCTCTCCCTCCCTCTGATCCCTCTCCCTCCTCCTCCCTTGCAGCGTGTCTCTGGTTTATAATTGTCTATTTGTTTTTGTTTTGTTTTGTTTTGTTTTGTTATTATTTTTCCCCTGATATCTTATTTGGTTCCCCTATATTCCTCCTATAAGTGAAACCATACCATATTTTTCTTTTTCCTTCTGACTTATTTCACTGAGCATAATTCCTTCTAGCTCCATCCATGTTGCAGGGCATGCAAAATTTCTTTAGCTACCTTTGTGGAAGACTGAATAACGGCTTCCAAGGATACCCAGGTCCTAATTATTAGAACTTTTAAATATTACCTTATATGGCATGAGACTTTGAATGTATGATTAAATTAAGGAGCTTGAGATGACAGGTATTATTCTGGATGATCATCATCCAGGTGGACACTAAATTTAATCAGAAGTATCCTTATAAAAGGAAGGCAGAAAACAATCTGACTTAAAAATGGTCAGAGGTAAATAGATTTTTTCCCAAAGAAAGCATTCAGACAACCAGGTCACATGAAAAGTTGTTCAGCATCACTAATCATCATGGAAATGCAAATTAAAACCAAATTGAGATATCACCTCACATCTCTCAGAATGGCTATCATCAAAAAATCAAGCAATAATAAATATTGGTGATGATGTGGAGAAAAAGGAACCCTTACACACTATTGGAGGGAATGTAAGTTGTTTCAGCTACTATGGAAAACAGTATGGAGGTTCCTCAAAAAAAAAAAATAGAACTATTTTATAATCCAGCAATTTGACTTCTGGGTATTTATTCAAAGAAAATGAAAACACTAACTTGAAAAGGTATATGCACCGCTTTGTCATTGAAGCATTATTTACAATAGCCAAGATACGAAACAACTTAAGTGTCCATTGATAGATAAATGGATAAGTAAGATATGGTGTGTTTGTATGGGATATGTGTGTATACTTCTACATATGCACCATCATGCATCACTTAACAATGGGACTACATTCTGAGAAATACATCATTAGGTAATTTCCTTGTGTGAATGTCATTGAGTGTAATCACACAAACCTAGATGGTTTGGCTTACTACATAAGCCAAATAATTGTGTCCTGTAGTTAAGTAGAAATTAGAACATATAAATGATTAACTTGGATATTTAGCTGAGGAGATTTTTCAAGCAAAATGTTGACATTATGATTTTTTCCTTGCTGCTTATATTAAAATTTGAGAGGAACCAGGACTTGATGAAACTAGGCTACATGGTATAACCTACTAGGACCATTGTCATATGTGCACTCTGTTGTTGACCAAAGTGTCATTGAGGAAAGCATGACCTATATTTATATGTAATGGAATATAATGCAGCTATAAAAAGAATGAAATATTACTGCCATTTGTGAACCTAGAGGGCATTATGCTAAGTGAAAAAAGTCAGATAAAGAAAGAATAATACCATATGATTTTATTCATATGATGAAGATAAAGGAACAAAACAAATGAGTGAGCAAAACATATTTGCAGAGAACAAATTGTTATCAGAGGGGAGGCAGTTTGGGAGTGGAGGTAATGGGTGAAGAGTATCAAGAGGTACAAATTTCCAGTTATAAAATAAATAAGCCACAGGGATGCTGTGTACAGTATGGAGTCTATGGACAATAAGATTGTATTGCAAATTTGAAAAATTGCTAATAGATGTGAAATAGACCTATTGTGCTGATTCTTTCTCATTGTGTTTAATGTCAAATCATTATGTTGTTCACCTGAAACTAATATGATGTTAGATAAGTAGATATTTATCTATTTATGTCATTTATACTTCAATAAAAAAATGAAAAAGAAGAAGGCAGAGGGAGCTCAGAATATAAAACAGAAAGAGATTGGAATGATGCAGCTATAAGCCAAAGATTGTCAAAGAATGCTTACAGCCTGTAGAGGCCAGTGCTGGCAAGAAACATATTCTCCCCTGGAGCCTTCAAAAGAAATCATCCCTTTTAACATCTTGATTTTGTTTTAAGTCCTCAATGACTCATTTGGATGCCTGACCTCCAAAACTGTAAGAAAATAATGTGTGTTGTTTTAAGCCATTGCATTTATAATCATTACAGCAGAAATAAGAAAATAATAGCAACTTTTAATACTGGGAAGTGAGGTGATTCTGTAACAATTATCTAAAAAGTGTGAAAGTAGCTTTGGAGTTGATGAATACTAGAAGAGTCACATGATGAAAAAAGTCTTGATTGCCTTAAACAGACTTTAAGTAGGAATATGGATGATAAATAAAGGCCTTGCTGGTTTGAGCTTAAAAGGAAATGGGGAACATGCTGTTGGAAACTTGATGGAAAAAAAAGGGCTCATGTTGATATAGTGCCAAGAAGCTGAGGTGAATTGTGTCCTGCAGTTAAGTAGAAATTAGAACATATAAATGATTAACTTGGATATTTAGCTGAGGAGATTTTCAAGCAAAATATTGACATTATGATTTTTTCCTTGCTGCTTATATTAAAATTTGAGAGGAACCAGGACTTGATGAAATTTTCAGTCTAACCACATTAGAAAAGATGATAAAATTTAGAGATTTGCCCTCAGGAAAGCATGCACTAGAAAAAAAGGTCAGGGGTGTGGCTGAACCTTTTTTTTAGTGCTCCAGAAAGATCAAAAGATCAGAGTATTCATTCACTTGCAGCGTTCTTTGAACAGATTGGGCATGTGCCTCATGGATTCCTTCAACCATCTCAGCAGAATCTAGAAATAGAGATGGGTTTATCCAGGAAAGATCTGGGGAAAGACCTTGTCCAATGGCATGAACTCCCATGACATACATGTAAGACCTGCAAATTTTTTGAGAATGCTATACCAGCAGAAAAGCTACCAAGGGACAGAGAGAAGACAAGATGAAAGAAGATTTTTGGACTCCCAAAATTCTACAGTCAAGAGGCTGGCTGATAAAAATTACTCAGCTGTAAACACGTGCTACCTTTCTAGAAAAAGGAAGGATGACTTAAAAGAAGGTGCCTTGTACATAGAAAACAGACTTTCAAACCACATAGGATCACTACCAAGCCTTGAAACCTAATTATTTTGTCCTTTTTCAAAATTGCTTAGGGTTTTTGACTCCTTCCTACCTTTGAATTTTTCCCTTTTAGAATGAGAATTTCTATAACTCATATCCTAAACCTGTCCCACCATTGTATTTTGAGAGCAGATAACTTGTTTCTAGTTTCAATGGTCCACAGATGGAGAATTTTGCCTCAGGATTATGCCATATTCTCACCCATGCCTGATTTAGATGATGGCATTTGGGACTTTTGGGCTTTTGATATTTAGAAGAGATTTTGAACTGGGTTGATGCTGTAATATATTGAGGTTTGGGGAGGTGTTGGGCAGTGTATTTTGCATGTGTGAGGGGTATGGATCTTTATAATCCAGAAGGTGAACTGTGGGATGCTGAATAATAGCCCCTAAAGATATCCAAGTCCTAGTATCCAGAACCTGTTGAACATTGCCGTATATGGCATAGAACATTTGCAGGTGTGATTAATGTAAAAAGTATGAAATGAAGATTATTTAGGACTATCCGAGTGGGCCCTCAGTGTAATCACAAATGTCCTTAGGCTATCAGCTTGTCAGATGTATGTGTACAAATATTTTGTCCCATTCAGTGAAGTGTCTATTTATTTAGTTACAGTTTCTTTCACTGCACAGAACCTTTTTAGCTTCATGTAGTCCCAGTTGATTATATTCTGTTTTCCTTGCTACTGGAGATGAATCTGCAAAGATACCTCCAAAACCCATGTCATGAATTGTTATGCCTGTCTTCTATTGATTTTGTGGTTTCATATTTTATATCCAAGTCTTTTTTTTTCTATTTTGCATTGATTTTTGTGAATGGTCTGAGATAATGGTTGTTACATTTCTTTGCATGTTGCTGTCCAGCTTTTCCAACACCATTTATAGAAGAGGCTTTCCTTGTTCCAGTGTATAAGCTTCACTCTTTTGCCATAGATTAGTTGTCCATCTATCTGTGATTTTATATCTGGGCTCTCAATCTATTCCATTGGTCTGTATGTCTGTTTTTGTTTCAGTACCATGCGGTTTAATTATTACACCTTTACAGTATAGTTTGAAGTCTAGAAGAGTGATACTGCCATTCTTCCTCTTTTTTTTTCAGGGTCGCTTTGGCTATTTGGGGTCTTTTTGATTTCATGTGAATTTCATTAACCTTTTCTCTATATTTTGAAGAATGCCATTGTAATTTGGTATGGATTGCATTGAATCTGTATGTTGCTTTGGGTAGGATGGACATTTTGCCAATGTTGATTCTTCCCATCCATATGAGTAGAGAATAT